TGAGTGTACGGATCTGAAAAGAAAAATAAAAAATATATATATATGTATTTTTTATTTCTATGTAATCAAACTTTAAATAATTCAAATTATAGTTTTATTTTACTCTGGGACTTACAACTATCGAGTAAACTAACGTCTTAAATTATTGATTACATAAAATCTCATCAGCTAATAGAACGTGATTGAAAACCTGTCCGTACTATATTAAATTTGGGAGTTTACTAAAGGGATACGAATTGAAAACATCCTTTTCAATTTTTACTGATTTACAGAAAAAAGAGAGATAATTTCATTTGAGCGGTCCCGAATTGAATCGAGCCGAATCGATTGCAAACAGAGTGCGACGTAAGTTTTCTATATTTATTGATTTAAAGAATGAACTAAAAGTAATTTGGTCTGACAATGTGAGCTTTGAAAACTGGAAAAATCCTACAGAAATTCTTTTTTTGAACTCGGATATGTGTCAAGAATGTAATTCTAAACAAGCATTCCGGTTGATGTGTGTATATATATATTCTTTATTTTTACTTTCTATCACAGAAGAAAATTAAGTCAATTAATTTAGAAGGATGATTAAATGTTAATATCAATAATAAACTAAATATTAAGTTTTAATAAAGAATTCTGCCAATAAAATCTATTTATTTAAGCTTAAATTAACAATAAACTATTCTATAATTCATCGTTAATAAAAAAATAAATTTTGATAATTTAACAAAATGATTTATTTTTATACATTTTGTATCGTGTAATAAAAAAAATAAACTAGAAAAGATAGCAATTAAATTATTAAATATTAAATTACCGGCAAATAAATTTAGCAGTTACTGCCGAATTACTCGCCGGCTAGCAAGAGTTACCGACAGAGTTACCAGCAAATTGTGGACTAAGGCAAGTTAAATTATCGACGAACTGACTAACATTTGCTAACAAGTTATCGACTGACTAACAATAGTTAAATTAATTAAAAAATAAATTAAATTAACAGATGTATTTGATATTTCCAATTTTAAATATGAAGTAAATTAATTTTTTCTATTAATACTTGAATATTCAAATGATAAGATCTCTAAAGCAATGCTAAAGTATATTTCTGAGATTTTGTATTATATACTTATATTTTAAATGGACACAATATTATCTTTAATTAACATTAAATTTGCCTCATTAAAGATAAGGCAAATTTAATGTTAATTAAAATTGTGTTCAAGAGATTGTGTAATGTTAATGAGAAAGGATTAACTGCAAAGAGTCGAAGTAGCACCCAACAATAACGATTACATAATTGAAAAGAAATAAATCTCTAAACCAACAGTTTTACTTAAAAACAACGTAAAAATGCCAATTTAAAGGTTTTATTTCTTAAATAAGATTGATATTTCTACATTTGTCATAAATACTCACTTAAATTAGCCAGAACGAATTCCATATCGCGACGGAGATCGGTCGTCTTGCGGGTTTCCGTAAGATTACGAGCCATGTGTAAATAGTAGACCTTGTATCCTCTCACCACGCCGTTGGGCCTTTCCGGTTGGTGCCATCTTAAGCGAATCGAGCTGTCCGTGACTCTGACGACAGTTAAATTTAACGGGGCACTCGGAACTAAAACCGCAAATGGTAGTCTAATCAGTTTGGATATTTATTTAAAATGTTAATTAAATATCCCGAGACAAAAACTTACTTCCTTCGTCCGTCATAACTGCTACGCTGGTCGGCGGACCGTCTCCTTCCGGATTAAATACTTGTACGGATACTATATATTGCGTAAACGTTGCCAAATTGCGAATGGTATATCCCTAATGAGAAAAAAATGCACATAAAAAAAATGGTAATAGATTAATAGCCCACGATATTAATATAAATCAATTTATTTTCTTTTCTAGCAGCAATAAATCCTTCACTTAATGTGCTGACTAACATAAAAGAGAGTTAAAACTGATCAAACTGATACTAACCATTACACTTCAGATATATAAATATTAATAGAGAGCAGCTATAAATGTTTATTCAATGTATCATTTGTTCTATGTTAAAGCTCAAGTTCAACATTTAGTCATTTTTATTTTTTTTTGAATTTGGATTATTTGCTCTTTATATGATAAAAAAAAAAAAAAGAAATTACTGTAGAATATGTGCTGTATTTCATCATTTTTATGATAAAATAATTATTTGAAGAATAATAAATGAGCAGTGAAGATCAGAGTTCTTCTAAATGTAATTTTGTGTGGATATGTTTGATAAATTTTACTTCTAATCCCACAAAATTAAGGTAAATATTCAAGTTTTAAATGTTAAAATGCATTGTCAGGCATTACCACATCAAATCATTTATTTATATTTGTCTAACAAGACTTTTAGCCTACTTCTAGACTTTATATAAACATTAAAAGTCGATAAGCTTATCAGAGACGGCTGCGTTCGGCTCTACGAGNAGGCATTACCACATCAAATCATTTATTTATATTTGTCTAACAAGACTTTTAGCCTACTTCTAGACTTTATATAAACATTAAAAGTCGATAAGCTTATCAGAGACGGCTGCGTTCGGCTCTACGAGGCCTAAATTATAGGCGTAAGAGTGGCAAGAGTAATCAAACTTTAAATAACTAAAATTATAGTTTTATTTTACTCTGGGACTTACAACTATCGAGTAAACTAACGTCTTAAATTATTGATTACATAAAATCTCATCAGCTAATAGAACGTGATTGAAAACCTGTCCGTACTATATTAAATTTGGGAGTTTACTAAAGGGATACGAATTGAAAACATCCTTTTCAATTTTTACTGATTTACAGAAAAAAGAGAGATAATTTCATTTGAGCGGTCCCGAATTGAATCGAGCCGAATCGATTGCAAACAGAGTGCGACGTAAGTTTTCTATATTTATTGATTTAAAGAATGAACTAAAAGTAATTTGGTCTGACAATGTGAGCTTTGAAAACTGGAAAAATCCTACAGAAATTCTTTTTTTGAACTCGGATATGTGTCAAGAATGTAATTCTAAACAAGCATTCCGGTTGATGTGTGTATATATATATTCTTTATTTTTACTTTCTATCACAGAAGAAAATTAAGTCAATTAATTTAGAAGGATGATTAAATGTTAATATCAATAATAAACTAAATATTAAGTTTTAATAAAGAATTCTGCCAATAAAATCTATTTATTTAAGCTTAAATTAACAATAAACTATTCTATAATTCATCGTTAATAAAAAAATAAATCATTTTGTTAAATTATCAAAATTTATTTTTATATACATTTTGTATCGTGTAATAAAAAAAATAAACTA